TTCTGATTACCTGCTCCCACCCCTTTTTGTGCTGAGACCGTGCCCATCACCATCTGGCACTTGCCAAGGCAGAAGGAAAGGGGTTCAGAGTGAGGGGCGTGGCAGCATGGGCTCGCTGATCGATGACCAAAACATGTCAAATTGGGAATCGATCAGGATGGGCATGCGAAGAAAAGGATGGGGGTTCACAATGAGCCCAGAGGTCACGTGCCCATTCCCAGGCAGGCTCAGGGGTGCAGCGGTGGCAGCCCCTCTGGCCGGGCCGAAGGCGCCTCGGCCCCCTGCACCGACAGCGCATCGCCGCCTTGTGCTGTGCTCGCCTCCGCATCGCCCTCGCCGCTCTTCACAGCCTCCGTCCCTGCCTCAACCTGGCCGCCCTGCCCCGCGTCCGATCCCGCTTGCACCTCGCCGCTCTGCACAGCCTCCGCCCCCGCATTCAGCAGCCTGGCGCGCAGCAGGGAGAGCAGGACGTTGGGCCGGGGGCTTTGACCGAGGCGCACGGCCAGGGCGCCGCCCGCCAGCTGCACGCAGGCCATGAATCTGACGAGGAGGGGGAGGGAGGGTGGGGGCGCGCCGCTCTCCTCCTCCTCCGTCAGGAAGCGGGGGAGCAGGGGCTGCCCGGCGCCGGCCAGCGCCAGCAGCGGGGGTGACACGGGCCCCTCGCCCTCCACGGCCGCCAGGAGGCTGAAGTGCGAGCGCGAAAACAGAACGGCCACCGGCTCCTTCCAGCAGGCCTGGCCAGCGCCGGCCGCGATCAGGGGGAGGTATACACCCGTCATGCCTGCACCCATGGGGAAGCTGGTGATGAGGGCGGGGGTTGAAGGCCGCGGGGCGCCCATGGAAGACGAGGGGCTGGGGTGACGCACCCCACGGGATCATGACGAGACGAGCCTCGCCTCGAGCGATGCGCATGCGCGTCCACACGCCCTTTCTTCCCCCCCCTGACCTGCCATGGCGGCCTGGGGGTCGCCGTACACCAGCAGCGGCCGCCTCAGGACGTTTGCCAGCGCAAAGGCGTGGATGTCGGAGAGGTAGTCGTCGCCGCGCGGCGCCGAGACCTCCCGCTCCCACTCCGCGCCGTGGGACTCCTCTGGGATCCCCACCTGGGGTGCACAGGAATGTGCGGGGGTGACACGGCAGGCTGCGTGTCGGAAGGTGCATTGCTGGGCCGCGCCGGGCACGCGGTACGGTCAAGCGACATGGATTCCGGCACGGACGGCCAGGGTCACACTGTTCTCCACAGGTCCCTCACACTGTTCCCCACAGGTCCCCTCCCCTCTCCCCCTCCCACTCCCCCCCTGAACCCTCTGCCAGTCGCTGACCTTGCGGAGGTGCCGCTGGAACCTGGCCTGGATCTGGGGGCCCGCCCGCGCATCCTGCATGGAGGCCAGCAGCGCGCTGCGCAGCTCGCCGTCCCGATCCTGCACGCCCCAGACACCTATGGAGGCGGCGTGGTCCAGGCAGTTGCCGTCGCCCAGCGTGCACAGCACGAGCAGGCGGGTGCAGAGGGGGAAGGCATTGATCACGCCGGCCTCCTCGGCCTCCATCGCCGCCGCGGCATTCGTGAGCTCGCCCAGGACGAGGGAGCGCACGGCGGGGGGGTGCGCGGCGAAGCTGGGCAGGAGCAGGGCGGAGTCCGAGCAGGTGGCCGGGTCCTCGGGGCCAAAGTGGACCAGACCGGAGACCTCCGATGTCCAGCGCTCCTGTGGTGTCGAGGGAGTTTTGGAGCCCAAGGGTTGTGAAGGTCATGTGGGGTGGCCCAAGGATTCACTGCTGTCCCAGGGCAAGCTCATGCGTGGCTTGAATTCCGTGCATTGAGGTGGTTTGCTGTCCCAGACAGCTTGTGCACTCAGCCTCATCCGTTTGGGCCCCCCTGCCTCCAAGCAATTAACCAGGTTAGACACTTCATGAGAATCACATTCCCACTCGCCCACCTGCGCCCTCTTCTGGCGAAGCTTGTGGGCGATGCCGGGATCCACTCCCGACATGTGGCGCTGCATGCACGGCTGGGAGGGGGAGGGGGGGCTCCACTCCTCCCTGATCGTCAAGGGAGGCCGCGATGGCCGCCCAGAGCTCCGGGTCGTCCTCTCGAGCGATAGGCGCGTTGGGCGTCGCCGCCAGGTCGACACTGGAATGCCGGCTGATCACACCCAGCACATCGGCATCGCACGACGCCCGGGCTGCTGTCACCATGCGAGCCGGTCGAATGAAGGGCCTGTAGATTCCGGGCGGAGCTCCTCGCGGGGACCGGAAAGCCTCGACCTCCTCAGCCCCGCAGACGCGGGAGCCTGAGTGCTGTTAAAGCAGATTCGCGACAATGCAAGTATCACAATACACATGTGCATGCAGGCCTGGCTGCCCGCGGCATCCCGCACGTCATGGCGGGGCCCGACACATCCGGCAGAAGAAAGCAGCGCGCTGCCCCTTCACCCTGGCAAAATTTGAATCGGTATCACATGGTGGTAGACCCCGGCCCGTGGCGCTGCAGCCACTCCAACGCCGTGATCCACTGCTCGAACTCGGTCTGCGGCGAGTCCAGGGCGTGGTTGTCCTCCGGGAAGACCAGGATCTTGGTGGCGGGGCCGGCCTCGCCGCGCAGCACGCGCAGCGCGTTCGCGTACTGCTGCGCGTCCCGCAGCGGCACCCGCCGGTCCTTGCCCCCCAGCAGGAAGAGCATGGGCGCCGTGACCTGAGTGGCACAGGTGGTTGGCGGGGGTAACTCTGTGTGCAACGCATGCCTGGGCTGAAGGGCGACTGGATGCGCAATTCCCCAGGGGAAGCCTCGACCATCCCCAGTGGGATGTTGGGCGTCGTCCACGCAGGATCCATCTCTCCAGCAGCGCACTCTTCTGTGGACCGGGCAGGCATCGGCCGCCTGCTGCTCTCAGGGACCAGCACTCACAATTCCCTCACTCGGCTTCCATCCCTCTCACCCCTACACACACACACCTTGTCGACGTGTGCGATGGGCGACACGGCGTGGAAGCGGTCCAAGTCTTCCGAAAGAGGCTTGACGCGCGCGCGGCGCGCCCCCTCCGCGCCCCACGCCTCCACGTAGCACCAGTCGGGGATGTCGCTGAGCTGGACCATGAGGCCCAGGTCCAGCACCGGGTTGCGCAGCACGCCCGCGAAGAAGTCGCCCGGCGCCTGGCCCAGCAGGTGCCCCGCCAGGAAGCCGCCGTGCGAGCCGCCCACCACCGCCGCGCCCGCGCCGGCGCCCGCGCCCAGCGCGCGCGCGCGCCGCAGCGCTGCCAGGCAGTCGCCGACGTCCAGCTCGCCCACGCGGCCGGGCAGGGCCTGCAGAGAAGCCTCCCCGAACCCCGTGGACCCGCGGTAGTTGACCAGCAGCACATCATGCCCCAGCGCGCACAGCGCGCCCAGCACGGGCGAGAACTCGGAGGAGAAGGCGGAGTGCGGGCCGCCGTGCGGCATGAGCAGCAGGGGCCGGGGGGTGGAGTCAGAGGAGCCTGTGGAGATCATGTGGTCTGCGGTGGTGGCCGCATGGTCTGCGCTGGTCGGCTGATCGATGTTGGCCGGGGGCTCTCCCGGGGTCGGGGTGCTTGCCGACTCAGGGGCGCCATCGCCGGCCGCATGCAGCAGGAGGGCCTCCCAGGTGGGACCCGAGCCGTCTGCGCCATCGTCGCCAGGCTCGGGGCACACGACAGTGGTGCGCAGCGTGCGCAGCGTGGCTGCCAGCTCGGGCGGTACCGCGTCGTCCTCGGCGTCCCCCAAATCCAGATGAGCCCAGGAAGTGGGGCCCAGGGCCTCGCCGCGGCCCAGGTGGGCGACGTACGGCGAGGGGGGTTGATGCAGGGAGCTGCACGTTGCCACCGCCCAGCCTGTCGGGTCATGTGTATGGGGGAGGGGGATCAAACGTGTCAGTGGCTGTGCGCATCTGTCTATATACGTGTGTAGCGCACTGGGGAGGCTGAAGCCAGGGACCGCGCTGGGAAGTGGCCCAGTGACGCAAGCTGGCAATCGGTGGCCGGGCACCCAGGCGCCAGCCGCCCGGCCTGCGGTGCCCTGTAGATGGACGCCTGGCGCTGGCGATGGGCAGGCACACCCTCAAGCATCCCCGCATTCCCACTCCCCGCGCAGTCCACCCGCGCTGCCCACCTGCGTCGGCAGCCAGCAGGCTCCAGCTGGCGTGGTCGGGCCCCGGCGGGGGGCTCACGCGCTGCACGCTGCGCGCACTGAGCGACACGGCCAGCACTGCCGTGGTGCTGCGCCACTGGGAGGTGAGGAGCAGCGTGTCGGCGTCCACCCAGGGCTGGGCCGGGATCAGGCCGGAGTAGAGGCCCGGGAAGGCGGCGTAGGGGTCTGGGCCTGCGGGAGGGGCTCCCGCCTCCACCCCGACCAGCATGTGCGGGGGCCCCGGGGCCGGCCCCGCCCCGCACCAGGTCAGCGCGTGCAGGGACGCCGAGGCGGCGTGCGCCCCGCTCTCCACCGCGGCGGCCTGGCTCAGGAAGACCAGCGTCCCGCCGTCGGGGCTGAATCGCGGCGAGAAGGCGCTGCTCATCCCCGGCGTCAGCAGCGTCGCGGCTGGGTATGATCCGCCCGCGGGCGCCTCGGCCGCGCCCTGGAACCCCGCCTCCAGCGGCGCCCCCTCGATGGCAGCCTCGTCCCTGGCGCCGGCGCCCACCTGCAGCCACGGCGCCAGTGCCAGGTGGCAGGGGCGGTTGAAGCAGTAGACAATGCCCAGGCGCTGCGTCAAGCCCGGGAAGTTGTCGGGGGCGTGCGGCCAGCGCACAAACACGATGCCGTCCCCTGGAGGAGGGAAGAAAGGAGGGTTGGGGAGGGGGAGGGGGGTTGAGTAGCCAGATTTGCTTAATGGCGCAGCGCCGAGCGACCCGCCCTCCTCAGGGAACCCGGCCCTGCACGGGTCAGGAATCTGCGGACCCCACCGGCGCCTGGGAGTTTGAGAGCTCTTCTTCCCGAAGCCCTCTTCCCAGAACCCCTCTCACGTGATAAATCACCTACTCCCACCCCTTCCCATGAACCTCACCTCGCGGCGTCCAGACCGGCTGGCCCATGCTGTACGCATCGGCATCCCCTGCCGCCACACGCGCCACGCTCCAGGACCCGGTGTCCAGCACGAAGAGGCTCGGCGAGCGCCTGCCCGTGTACCGCTCGCCCCAATCGTCCCGGGTGGGGCCCACGCCGTGCCAGGCCGCGGGGCCGGCGCTCTCGCTTTCTTTGCGCCCATCCCGGGCGCCGCCCCAGGCGGGGCCCGGGGGCGGGGCGGGGGCCTGGCGTTTTGGTTGGGGGGGGGGGGGGGGG